GCCCGCTTCACCACCCGCAGCCCCACCGGTGTTTACCGCCCTGCTCCGAATCAAATGTCGCAAGGGGTACGCGGGGCCAGGAGCTGCGGTGGGGCTGGAAGGGGGGGAAACCGCGGAGGAGGCGAGGGAGAGGAAAGCCGTCGAAGAAGAGGGTAATATGACGTACAATGGACCCGTCCTGCCTTTGTCTGGCAGAGGTCACCCAAAAGTTACCAGAATTTAGTTCTGCTGAATAAAATTAGGCAATCAGTAACTTCTCATTCACTCTCCAGCCCCAGCAGACGTGTGTGCAGATGTAGGCGCGCACAGGCGCGAACGCACACGTGTGTGTGTAAATCTGCACACGCGCGTACCTAAAATCGTACGGATGGCAAGAAACCGCTCGCTTTTAACCACCACAGTTCAGGCAATTGCACTGGGGAAGGCATTTAATCGGGTTAAAAATATCACGAGTTTAATGAGCTAAATTCGGTCTTCATTCATCAATATCATCCCCGGAGCACGAGTAAATACATCCAGCGAGGCGAACGCTTGCTTTGGCTGCTGCTGCCGTAAATATTTTGATGCGATCTGGACCCTCGACAGGAAAATTTTGCTAACGCCTGGCGTACCTATCTAATTCAGGAGTATCTTTTCAAAGATTCATTCACTGATTGGTAGATAGTTGTTTTTTTTTTTTCCCCCAGAAAATTTATAACTTCTGGTGAGATGAACTGTTTAAATTCACGGTGTGACGTTGAGAGTCACGACTGAACGGCAACTGAGATTTTAAGAGAGGTCCTAAAACCTAGCGAATAGGAGGGAGGCAGGGAAACTTTGGCAATTTCTGAGTGTCCAGCACGCACGTGCCTTTGGATTCCGCCAGTATTTTAACTCCTAACCATTTGCAGAAAGGTGAAGTTTTTGCATCGACCATATATTCCCCTAGAATCGAATCTGTGACTATATGAATATCACACAAATTCGGTTCTACAGGGTATATATAGACAACGTAATAACATTCTGTTTTCATCTACAATACAGCAGGTCTTTGCAATTCTGTCAGTCCTCACTGTCTTCTGAGGAATGCAAACTATTCTGCTGGGACTCGGTTCCCAAATACGGGTTGTGCAGGAAGGTGGGGTTTCGGAAAAGGTTCGCGCTTCTTACTATCGCTGCGATAGAGCTACACGGCTCCCCACCAATTTGTAGCCACGAATTTCGCCTACCAAATTCTCAGAAAGACCTGCTGCTCGCTTTAAACGCTCTGGCCGTTCACGTCCCCTCTACGGAAAACGGACGTTACCGGTCAATTTGCGCTATTTAGAATAACAGTGGTTAAAATAATTTAGAAAAGAGTCTTTATCTGTTTAGGCTAACACGAATCTGAAGAGAATTTCCATGATCAGAAATCTCCCGCCCCCAACTGAAAAAGAATTAAAAAAAAAAAAATCGAAACAGAAGTGCAACAGCGGACAACAGAAACCGCGGTCGGTGAGAAAAAGGAGGCTAAAGGCTGGAGTTAGTCGCTCTCAGGAAGAAGAGGGTTTCCAAATTTACCTTCGTCCCCTTATGCTGGTCTAGCTACTCGCCCCGCGCGCTGCCTGCGAGCCACAGCCCCGTACCCTCCCAGGTTCTCCCCGCCGCCGCGTTTATGGTGAAGGGCAGGGCGAGAGGTCAGCCGAAATCATTTACAAACAGATCACAAAGTTTCATTATTTTTACTTTGTCGACAGCAGCACACAGGAGTACAAAAGTTCACGAATTGTGTCTGACCCAGCTCCTCGCTGTTGTCCTGCGGTCAACCTCTTCTCCTTCCACTGTTGAGAACAGGCACCAGAAGGACAAATAATGGTGCGGGGGTGACACGTCCAGCCACCTCGGAGGGCAGATTTGGGGGTGTTGCTTTAATCCGAGCCGTGTGCACCGGTTTGTTTGCCTGACTCCAACTCCCAGCTGCCTGATCTGGGGGATGCTGTTTTTAAACCTCTGCTTTCTTACCACCGCGGCGGTGCCTTCTTCACAGCAAGTGCAACACGAAACGACTTTGTGTCCCTAATCTCTTCTTCCCCCCACCCACCCCCGGATTATTTAAATCTCCGTCCAACTATTTTAAGCGGCTCACCTCGCTGTGTCCTCCTTTCTCCGAGGGGAGGGGGATACCCCCCCCCCGGGAGGGGGGACTCACCACGCGCTGAACGGGCAGGGGGACACACACACACCGTCACCCCCCCAAAGAGAACTGGCATTTGGGGCAGCCCCCGGGAGCGCAGAACCTCGTCGAGGGCTGCCCGGAGAGCAGGGACGGGGCTGGGGATGCAGCAGCCCCCCGCTCTGCTTAATACTACGCATTTTCATATTTGTTAGACGCTGTGACCTGCGTTTCACCTTATTGCACAACTTGCTCAGACAGGTCAAAGCCAAAGAGTTATTGATGAAGAAAAGCGTTATATATTCACCTCCTGTTCAGCTACCCATACAAAATGCTTTTGATCTACCAGGCTTTGTGTACTCTTGGTTCGTAATCAGTATGCTAAATGTACGTTGGTAGAAAACAAGTAATCCATACTTTTAGGGCCGGCCCTAGAATAAAATGCCAAGGGCGTCTACGTAGCGCAGGGCAGAGCTGCGGGGGTGGGGGGTGAAGTTACCTATGGAACACAATTAGAACTGCGACGCTGGAGGCGAAGCTTTGGTTCGTGTTTAAAGGGCTGGAAAACCAATATCGCAACGTGAGGCAAAGAGAGGAGAAGGCTGGCACAAGCCGTGAAAGAGGTTATTTGTCAGGAAACGGGGAGAAACGCAAACACGCGCAGCTCCGCTCCCGTGCGCGCTCCCGGCCACAGCGGGGCCGGCAGAGATGTCTGCCCAGCGAACCTCCAGACGCCGCGGGCTGACTTCTCCCCGTCGGGTCTCAGTCTGAAGCACCAGGACTGAGGCTCTTGGCCCCTCACCGCAGCCGCGGAGGCTAGGCAGCCCGTCCCCCGCCGCCC